TGTTTTAGCCTTACAGTTTCTGGTACTTCAACCACGAGTTGATCGAGGTGAACCGGAAGGTACTTCGTTAAAGGAACTGATTAAAGATCCTTATATTATTATAGCTGCTGGTTAGTTAAAAAAATTTTGATAACGCAATAACCGTTTTGAACTTTGAAATTCCGATGTTGTACCGGGAAGTAAAACAGATTTTTACGCTTATATTGTAATAAGATAATGTGAAAAAGTTTACTGCTATCTTGACTATATTTTTGGGTTTTTTTGCAATTTCGCTAGGGCTAATCATACTTTTGTTCATTTCTGCAAAGAAATTTTCTAAATTGTTAATACCTGTGATTAATTTCTCTGTTATGCGTTATTTGATCCTAATAATCAAAATTTCGGTCCTTACTATAACGTCTCCAACTGTTTGTCTTTCTTCTTTTGTTTACTTGATTCAGTTAATTTTTTGGCTTTTGATGAAAATTATCAGTAGAAATGCGAGGAGTATATTGCTACAACTACAAAAAATTTTTTTGTGCGCTGAAGCATAAAGTTTGATTCTTGCTTTATGTTTCAGATCTTTAAGGTTGTAATCATGAAATTTTTTTCATCGTTGGTATGGTTAAAGTGTAGGTGGGCATCTGTTTTGACAAAAAAAAGCGAAATAATTTAATTTTCAGCATAGTGACAGTGGTACTACAACTGTCTGTTTTTTTCAGACACTCTTTTTACCAACGAATTTCAATGAAAACTAAGGCTGAATATAAATGAACTGGTTGTTGTTTAGGTGCAATAACTATTGGCAATCTTGGTATCGGAATGCTAGAACCATCACTACCGTTATGGATGATGGAAACATGGAAAGCTGGATCATTTGAACGTGGGGCAGCATTTATTCCAGCTAGTGTATCGTATTTACTGGGAACGAACATCTTTGGTTCATTGGCTCACAGAATTGGAAGGTTTTATATTTTTACTAATTTCTCTAAGCAGATAATTATTCTAAACTATTTTTCAAGCAACTGCTTTCAGATGGCTTACAGCTCTTATTGGTCTTGTTATTATCGGAATATGTCTTCTAGCTGTAAGAATTTGGCTTTAATTTCACTTTTTGATTTCAACTGTTCTATACGAGACACTTATGTAAGGTGTCATTTCTTTAGATTCCATCTGCTCGAAGTGTTGGTGGTTTAATTATACCAAATTTTTGCATGGGTTTATCAATCGGTATGTCGTTGACAGTTCAGTATACCATGAATTTTTTAAGAGATTATTAGCAAAGTAAATTTAATGTTTCTGTTTTGTGCTTTGGTTAATCTGACTTTCATTGAAAAAAAAAATTAAATATTCAGAAACTTTGTCAGCAAAATTTTCTTTATCATATGAACGCGCATTTAACTGACTGGTAAATCTTAAAAGATGATTTTTTGAAGGTATGATAGATTCTTCAATGTTCCCGCTAATGGGGTATTTAGTCGATATTCGACATGTTGGGGTCTATGGTTCTATTTATGCGATGTCTGATGCAGCATTCTGTTTTGCTTTCACTCTTGGGCCATTCTTTTCTGGACCGCTGGTTCGAAACTTCGGTTTTCCGACGTAAGTTTCTTATGATCTCTAAGGTTGTCTTCCACTGGTTTCCTACTATAACATTTTAAATCAAAACTAACCAGTCAACCAATCTTCTGTCCTTTTGGTTTGAATCAGCTTTACCGAATCATAGAATACGCAACAAGCATTGAAAATAAAATATTTATTTTTAGCTTTTTTTTTTGTTTTGTTTCATTTTAATTTTTGAAACTTTCTAGAATGATGTACCTGATTGCTGTTATCAATTTTTTATACGCGCCACTGATGTTCTTTCTGAAGAATCCACCAGCATTAAATATTCTGAACGAAGTCATTATATATTCACTTTTTTTTTTCTTCAATAACACTTTGGTTTAATAAGTAGCAGAAATTAATGCTAATTTAATAAGCAGCACGCAGTACTTTAACTGTTTCAGTATCAGATTAACAGTTTTAGGGAAAATCAAAATTATCTTTTGTTTAATTTAGGCACTTCATGAACCGAATATCCCACAGTCGGCGATCAGTGGTCATTACCAGGAAGTGACTGGAGAGAATCGTTATGAAAATAAAAAAGCAGAAAGCTATCAGTATGATTACTAATACCAAATTTTTTTTTTTTGTTTAGAATTTATTTGCTGAATAATAGGATATCGAATCGATTACACCAATACAGAAGTTGTGTTTAGCAGATTAAACCGAGCAACGGACCAAATAAAAAAAAAAAACCAATTCACTTGTTACACTTTTTAATCACTGTATTTATTCGTGGTGGAAAAAAATTTTATACATTGCTTAATTAGAAAACATCAAATTTAGATAACGTCTTTTTTTTTCTTTTGTTATTATTTTCTTTACAGTTTAATAGACTAACTTAGTTTGATAATTTTAAAACAGTTCTGAAGTGCCAACTTCTTTCCAACAAAAGTTCACATCACAGAAACATTTGGTTAACTGTATGAATAATTGTCGTAGAAATATTATATTCAATTGTTGACAGCTAAACAATGTATTTTTTCTTTTCTTTTTTTTTTTTGCTATAAAGTAAAAACGATATTTATTTTAGGTTAAAAAAATTTTTTTCACGAAAAAGTTTCAATACTGTATATTAAAAGTTGTTTTGTGTTACTCAATATTATTAGTTTTATTATCTTGCAGTCGTTATTTATTTCTTACACTATCTTTTCTAATAGTTTATTGAATATTTCAAACTGGGAAAGGGTGTTTTGTTTTAAAATATTATTTTGAATAGTTTTTTTTTTTCTTTTAATGGCAAAAAAGTGATATGTTAGAAAATTTTATTTTCAACTGTTTAGTATTTGAAAAATAAAAAAAAAAAAAGTGAAACAACAGAAAGGAAAAAGTTTGAAAGTAAAACAACTAATTTTACACATACAATTGGGTGGGAAGACAAAAAAATATATATATTCCACTAAGAAAAAAAAAAAATTATTTTTCT